CTCTCTCTTTCTCTCAGACACACACACACACACACACACACACACAAACACACATACACACACACACACACACACACACACACACACACACACACAGAAACACACAGCAAGGGGGCAAAACGCAAAGATGACCTTGGCCACTAGGGGTAAACAAAAATTCAAAGGGCCTGGGACAAGCTGGCACTGGGACATTTTGCAAACATGGACTGTACTGGGTAGGGGTATTTTGCAAAGATGACAGGTCCAACCGATGCCAGGGGCATTTCGGAAAGCATTTATTGTGTCAGAGGGGTATTCCGCTCTACCAAGATCTTTCAAGTTTAGGGGCATTTTGGCATATTTCTCAACTTATAGGAGTATTTCGCAAATTAAACTTAAAAAATTTTATCTTCTCATAAAAAAAAAAAAAAAAAAAAAAAAAACAAATTGAACTAACCGTCAAGTTTCCCTATGCTTACATTCGTTAATCTTTCTCCCCACTGGAAATAACCAGCGAGGGTTGAATGGTTTTGTTGCAGCCAAGTGCGGGGAAAAGGAAAAGTTTTCCTGGGGCAAGGTCCCAGTAGCAAAGAGGATTGGATTGAACGCCTTAATTTGGCTGTGTTTGTAGACAAGTGGAAAAAATCGAGATTGAACTCCTTTTCTGCATCTATGCCTAAAACACGCCCTAATTCGACATCTTAATCCTCTCCCTGTTGCTAGTGGGACCATGCTCCCGGGGAACAAGGAACAAACCTTTCTTGCGTTCTTCGAGGCCCTAAGGGCATCGCCACACCACTCTCGAAAATGTGCAAAATGAGAATGAACTTCCCGCTGGAGTATAGTCAGATGCGCCCGCCACATTTTTGTCTTTTTCACATTTCGAGAATTCTGTGGCGAGGCCCTAATTGTAATAGTGATGAGGTGGCGAATGGGACTCTGAGGCCATAACTGGCCCGACGAGGTTTCTCGAAGCGACTACGACGAGCGATCGGCTGCATTGTCTCTTCTTTGCTGCCGTCTCCTTGAGCTTGTAGGAGCCGCCATCGCCTTTAAGCACCCTTTCCGTCGTAGGGCCTCTTTTTTTTCACACCTCTCGAAGGCGGGTGTTGGAAACACGAGGTCAAAAATAAAAAAGGAAAAAAATTGGGGACTCGCAGCAGGGAAGAAGGGAAGACGAAAGAGAGGCGTACAGTCGCTGGTGTTTAGGACAGGGGCAATGGAGAACGAGAGGTCTGAAGATGATGGCGATGAGAGGAGGGACGCTAGAGCAGAGGCTCGCAGCACAGTTGGAACAGACTTCGGAGAGGTGAAAACGACGATATCTGCGGTGGACATCGCTGGGGACTCTCAAGCGAAGGTATGTATGACACATACTGGAGTCGGAGTCGGCGCGAATACCCTTACAAGGGTATCCGCCCTAGGTTTTGCAAGTGACAGAAAGGCTCGGTTAACCTAGATTTTAAGTGCCCGTGTGGGAAATGCGAGGGTCGTCCGCATGCGGGCAGAGGTCTGCCTTGTCCTGGTAGGGAGTATGTGAGCGCGCAATTTTAAGGCGCGAGTGTGATTTTTCTGATTGAGTGGGCGGCCGGGGTAGCCGGCCGGCCCAGACCGAGCTACGGGTCTGGTTGGGGGATAAAGGTCTATTTTCTTTCCTTTTTTTTTTTTGTCGGCGCGTGCGACCGGCGGTAGGACTGGCGCACTTATAGGCGGTGTTTTGGCCAGGGGCATAGCGCGGTAGCGTTTGTATAGGAGGCCGCGCCGCCTGATGCCAGGCTTGGGCTTAGCCCTGTCGGTTACGACGTTGGGCAATTGCAGCGGAGGTATGGGGAACGAGGACAGCGGACGACGGTGCGGGAGCGGCGAAAGGCTTGAGGGGTTGATGGGCCGGTGGGACTATCACCCTCGCCTTTCACAGTTATGGCGGCCTCGGTTCCCACCCGATTGCCGCACGTCTGCGAGGATGTATGTGTATAATTTATTTATGTCGAATTTTTGTTACTACTATTTGTCCTCACGCTCATATGAGGGCGCGAAACCGCAGTGGCTATGCCCACGAAATGAGTCGGCGCTCGGACCCAGATGAGGGAACTCGGTGGGCAAAGAGTGTATCCCGAACTGCCTGGGGGCCGCTTGCCTTCGTGGCACAGGCTCTGTCCGTCGGGACACCGTTAGAAATTGAAACGTCACAGAAAGGGTTGGCATGGCTCATGCGTAAGGGTGGCACGCGCGAACCAAAGGTAGCGGGGGCGGACCCGAGCGTTGCCGCTACCACGGTTTGCAGCGCACGTTGGGCCCGCACGCCTGAGTCCTGTAAAAAGGGGAGGCTCAGTCTTGTCAGGTGGGTGGCGTCTGGGCCTTCTGGCCAAGTGGTGGCTGAGGTCGTGGTTGAACCGGGCCTCGGAATAAGGCCAGACCCTCAGTGGACGACCGGACCTTCCGAGGATTGGCGCGACGTGCCAACGAGGCAAGGGTGAAAACTAGGGGCGGGGCTGGAGTGCTTGATGCAGGGTAAAGGACGTATGGTGCGCCAAACCTGTCCTCAGAGGGAGGCCAAGTCTGCGCGGAGAAGTTGCCAAGGCACGTTGGGGGCTGCTGCCAACGGAAGACCCCCCCCCTGAAGGAAGATCTGAGCAAGGAGCATTCATATGCAATCCGGAAATGAACCCGGTCGTGAGTTAAGCCAGGCACGCAGGAAAGAGCAGAAAGGATCTGGATAGCCCAGCGTAAGGAGGGGAGATCCGCGCGATAGCCTGTCGAGGCCGGGTGGTACTAGAGGCTGGCCAGGATCCGAGGACCCAAGCCGTCGGTGCATCCGTTGGAGTAGGCACAGTACATAGGAGATTTGCCTGACCCCTACGTAGAGTCGACACGCGCTGCTAATTTGGGAGGCGCGATATATACTGGGTATACTTACCTGAACCCGGACAGAATGAAGGCCAGATTCCCGGGGGAAGGCCAGATCTGGACAATGGTGCTAACGAGGCGGGGTGGCGCTGAGGCCGCCCGAACTCCGACAGACCGCCGGGGCCCTTGAGTAGAGCCGATGCATATAAAACT